AGTTTGAACTGTTTGACCCAACAGGGTTGTGTGTCTGGCCTGTTTGACAGCYGTTTTACTTTATTACCACTACAGATGCTACTAGCTCCTGGTTCCAACTGCAACTCAGGCCAATCAGGCAGGATTTATGGGGCTTTATCCACACAATGGCATTTTCTTTTCCACTAACTACTTAAACAATCCTTATTGTTGTGCAAATACCACTAAGAGGGGAAACTGTAATTTAAAAAATACATACTATTTTATACAGCTCCGATTACAACTTTTACTTTTATGGCTGATTCTGGCTAAGATGTTCATCTAGCAAAAGTAAAAGGAATTCTCAAAGTACGAATAAACAAACAAAATAACATCCTCAAATGTTCTTCCAAATRTTTTCCACAGCATGGAAAAATTGGTACACTTATCAAACAGTCTTTGAAAAATACACAAATTATACCATTACAGTAAGAAATTTTTACTTTGATACACGTCTAACTAATCTTTTATTCAAATGTACATGCAATAACTAAATATAAACATGAGTAAACAATAAAAAAGGTTCTGCCAGCTCAGTGCATAYAAGACATTTGTTCTACAGCAACATATTGCTATACTGTTACTAATCTGCATCTTAATGCCGTAGAAAGGTCCCAGTTCAACAACAAATTTATCAAGATGCCACCCACAAACATCTAATTGCCCACAAAYATCTAATTGCCCACAAACATCTAATTACTTAACCAAATGCAAATCTGTCTCAGTACAAACAAAAATAACAACACTACGAAAACAAGAAAACCATTTCAGAACTACTTAAGTGAATCTATTGCTGTTGCTGAGAAAGTTTGTCTAAAATAGATAGTCATTATACAAACAGACAATCAAAACACTAGACAAAAAAACATTAAGACATTACCATTGCAATATTTTAGAAAAACATGGGTTTTTAACTTGGGAACATTTTTATTAAATACTCAAATCTCTGTCTGTTATACAAAATTGTTAAAGGTCTGTCATCTCCACCAYTTTCTCAGTTTGTAAATATTATAACTCATATCGATTAACGAGAGGGGCAATCCGTGAAGATAGTATTGTTCCTCTCTGGAAAAGTGCTTTAGTCAAAGTACCTTTTCAGTTACAGCTGCACAGGAGTGTAACTCTGTCCCTCAGCCAATCAGAGTTCTCACCACATATAAACTATTTAAAAAACAGTTAAAGACTTGGATTATAACACAACAGATTTGTCAACATTTCGTTTAATAACTGCCTCCACCTAGTTCCACCATGTGACCACTTGAGTTTTTGCCATCTTGATGAAGGTTTAAATTAGTTTTAATGATTCTTATACTTTGTATAAATTTTGTGTTTAATTTTTTTAAATGATTTGTACTGATTGTATTTTATTGTATTTTTGACAAATTGTATGGAGCACAGTCATTTCAACTTTGTTTTATATAACCTTTGTTTTTATTAAGTCCAGGAACAACAGATGAAAAATAGCCTTTGGCTAACTCTGGCACATTTACAGAAATGTCAATTAATGTGCATTGTCTCTTCTAAATAAATAAATTAAATAAATTAAAATAAAGAAATTATCAGGACTCTATACTTTAGCAGTATGTATATAAATTCTTAACAATTGTCTTTCAGCATTTATAGAGATTAAAACTCATAGAGGTCTATATGTCTACCCATTTTAGAGAGAACTACAAAACAGATGGCTATTTGATTTGACATGGTCATAAATTAGGCAAAAACATAAAAACGTAACACTTTTAAAAGACAGTTGTTTCCATTTGTTTTTACTGGCTTCATAGCAGAGCAGCCTATAATAAAAGACAATGACAAGAGAAACATTGCAGTTAAGACAAGAGAATTGTTACAAAAAGGTAGTTGAAATGTTTCAAAAATTTGGATGGATAGATGGATGGAGCGAGTACAAAGAGGTAGTTTAAATGTTTTAAACTAATCAGATGTAAATTAGAGAGCACAGAAAAGCTCAGTGATGACACCAGGATAATCATGGGACCACATCTGACAGCCTCAGCATCTTAGTGCTATTAAATCTAGGACTCTGACCTTAAAACTGCACAATTTCTTTCATTTACAACATTACAAACACATGATCTACAGTCTATCATCCCACTTGGTTGCTAAATTTACAGCCTTACACACACAATAACTTATGAAGTTCCAGTGGAGTAACCATCCCGCTATTCTTCAGTATGTTGTTGTTTTTTGTTTTTTTTTCCCTTGGGGGGGGGGGGGGGGTACAGAGCACAATTCTCACCATCTCCAACTCCCCAGACAAAAACCAGGGCCCTAGTAAATCTGAAAGCAAACATATAACGCATCTTAAAGAAAACTTGTTTTATTAAAACACTTGACTGGAGATGAAGAGGGCTTTAACACATAAAATTGTATGGCAGCAAATTAGACCTACTTAAAACAAAAATAAAAAACATCACTATTTATTCATAATGAATACTAAGTAAATACAATCATATTAGCACATAAGAAATTCTTACAATTTCTGTCCACTTATGGCTACTACTTTACGGCAAGTGCAATAAGAACAAAGCTTTTGCATATTCAGATTCAAATTTGGAGTCTGATGACCCACAGTATCTACGTTTACATAAGTAATCAGATTAAACGGCCATTCGAAATAAAAAAGCGTCATGTAAACACCCCATTCGGATTATTCTGATCCGGTTCAGCTCGATCCGAAGGAWTTTGTAATCGGAATGAGAGGGGTGGTTTATGTCGATGGATAAACCAAACAGSGTGCATGTAAACACTTAATCGGATCGTTTTATTCTGATTGTGGAAAACTGATCTGACTGTTCATGTCTGCTGACTTTCATTCAGCGGCTTCTGCTCTTTCGTGGAGGGAGGGACAGCAGCGCTGTTTCCATTCGKATTATTTAATCCGAATATATTTAAATCTGATCAAAAAATTTGTGCATGTAAACTTATCTAATGAGGTCTATCCTCCACTTATAGAACCACTGCTTTAACAGGTACAGGCAGAACTTTGTCCCACTGCAAGTTGCCAATCCTCCTAATATGCAGGTGAAGGAAAGAAGAAGAAGTAAGCAGGAAAAAGCCATCTCCCTGCTTTTAATAGACACTATCACAAGCCAGTGTGTCACTACTGCAGCATAAAATCCTGTCTGAGGAGATAACGAACGAGAGCGAGACGCTCCACTAGTGCCTGAAAAAAAGTTGCCTGAGATGTGTGGGAGGCGGGTTTTTTTTAGTTCTGTAAAAACATTTTCATGAATTTCCAAGGAGGTGTTGATCAACAGCAAGCACCAGAGGAAAGCAATAACAGCAGCATGGCAGCACAACTTTGCATCGAATAACCTGCAGAGTTTGCTGCAGAAGAGAAATTAGKTTAAAGTTTGTTTGGTGTTCCTGAAAAGAGAGGTGGAATATTTAAAGACTTTGTTTTGTTGTTAAAGCCAAGTTGGTATGGAGCATGAGCTGACATTATTTTTTTTCTCCTATGATTATTTAGCAGGCAGAACAAAACAAAAAAACAAAAACAAGAAGCTGAAGATTTAGTTTTGTAAAAGTAATTTTAAATAATAAAAGAAAGAACAGACACAAACAGTGCACATTTAAAAAAGCTTACCCATTTGAATACACCTTCGGAGGAGTCAATGTATTTTATAACATTATGATTTAAGGGTTTTAGAGAACTGATAAAAACAAATTTCTGTAAATATGCCTAACTTGGGTTGGGCAATACTGGCAAAAAAAATTATCACTATTAATTATGGTATTTAGTCGATAACGATTAATACGACGATTAATCTTTTAAGTTTTTATGTTTAGCCACTTTTTTTCCTTCACATGTTATGTGGGTGCTGGTGCTCATGTACAGCAGTAAATGTCTAAGAGGCGTGGTATAACCTGGACAGGTCGCAAATCCATCTCAGGGCCACAGAAGCTGMATTTCCATTGACCATGAAAATGCGCAAATTAGAATTTCGAAAATAAATTTGCTCAGTGGAAACACGTCAATTTAGAAAAAACTTACGTTTTTCGACAAAATGGTTTTGCACTAGGATAAGGTGGTTTTTTGGCCGTACTGAAATTGGTGTATTTCGCAAAACTGCAATGGAAACACTTTTTTTGCATCACGGGAGTCACATAATCAACACCCAGCTGTTTCTACGACAAAGAAGAAGACAACAGTAGAAGTACGGTAGTAGTAAAATCACTGAAGTTCTAAAAGAAAGTAGTAAACTCACCAACTACAATTTCCCAAAAACGCAGCATACGTAGCCGTTCCCAAGTATAAGGGGCTTGTCACTCAAAAGCCTCGATAAAAGACGCCAACGTTTCCTCTGATGGCAGATGATGAGCGCTAGTGTCGTGGTAGCATTAAGCATGTGTTTACATCCATTCACACCATGTTTGTAATGACTTATCGCGAGAACAAACGTATTCACGCGTGACTTTAATAGCTTTTCTTACTTAAATGAAACACCGCAATTGAGAAACTGTGTTTTCTTGACAATAACAGGATTTCGACAAAGTTTTGCGCACATTTGCAACAGAAACAGTTAGAGACAATCCAGAAAAAATACATGCACACCTAGGGACAATTTCAAGATACTAGTTATACTAACATGTATGTTTTTGGTCTGGGGGAGGAAACCGGAGTATCTGGAGAAAACCCTTTTCATTTCTGTTTCCCTTTAAAAACGAGATGATTATTTTAAAATGAACTAGAAGCTGTTTGGAGATCACCACCTCCGCCAAGACCCTAGGGTCACTCAGGTGGTCCAGATCACCACCAAAATTAAATTATTTGCTTCATTATGACTATGTCAACACTGAAAATTTGTTCACAACTTTTTGACAAATCTTGTGGACTGACAAAGTACCCCTACCAAAACCCAGTTGGATTCACACCACAGTGCAAACTCAACCTCAATTTAGTTTATTTTAAAATGTCTTTCATTTGTTACTCTCATGTGGCCACGTTACAGTCGCACTCATACCTTTCCAAGTGACTCAAGGGGTCTCTGGTCAGATGTGCAGGGCGYTCCACCAGCAGAGGGGGGGTGGAGCCTCAGAGATCCCACTTCCTCTTCTTTTGTCACTCACACATGCTCCTGGAAGAGACAAACAAGATGGATACATAGGCTGTTAAAACAGTAACACATGCAAGGAAGACGACATATTAAAAATTGTGCAATCTTAAAACAAGATGCAAAAAAAACTTAATTTTTTTTAAAATATAGTTAAAGAGTGTGGGGATAGTTATATTTAACAAACAGAGTTTTCTGACTACACTAACGGTGTCCAAACTTGAAAGGCTTTACACTGGTTATCGACTTATGCCCTTTATAAAGTTAGAATTTTTACAAGCATATTTCCATTTGAAACAGCACTTCCCAGCTGTATGTTAGCACACAGTTAAACATGTTGGAACACTGAGCTTTTTGAAAGTTACAAAATTTCAGTCGTGTTGTTGTGTTTATGAATATATTACATACATATATATATATATATATATATACAACCTGAAGATCAAATCAAACCAAAGCATTCTGACAAACTTTAAAAAAGAACAAAGAAATGCAAAACAGATGACAAATGGATGTAGGGAGATCAAAATATGGACGGACAAATGATGAATTCCCAGAACTGCTCACTTCACTAGATTAATCTGCTATTTTTWAAAAAAAATCACTGAGATGAGATGCAAGTGAAAACGATTCAGTGTGGGCTTGTGTGTCTGTGTGCACTTCAATCTGGCCTTTGGCCTACTTTATAGCCAAGTCATCATTCCTGTCCACTGGGACTTCATAATTCCAGTCTACGTATAGCATGAGTGTGTTAAGTTTGTATTACAAGAGCCATAGCATAAATCTCTTTCTGCCAGCCCACACACTTCTGCATTAGTGACTGTGAGGAGGGTGCACTGCAGTGCAGGTATGCATCAGCTTATGAAGGATTCTGGCCACCAAAGGTGCCTGTCTGTTTCATCTCGAGTGAGTCATCATTTCTTATCTCCTCCTTCCTTTTCATCTCTGTCTTAACATGCATTGTGAGCATATTTTAAAAAAGCGTTTTTAGTCCCACCCCCTGCAGAAAACTACACCAACATTGAGCGAAATGTAATCCATCTGCAGATTGGAAGCAGGAGGAGCTAAAGCTTCTATAAATACTCATTTGATTCCCGTGACAGTCAAAATAAATCTACAAAATCATACACATTGCTGCAGTTCAAGTAGCAAATCATCTCTGATTTTGTCTGCAGCGTAAACCTCTTCCTCTCCTTGTTTTCACTTCAGTCAGTCTTGCAATTTCTGAGAGCTAAATGTCACTACAACCAAAATTTTGCATTTTGTTTTGACTTAAAACAAAAATAAATTACAGAGATACACCATTAGTTTGGTGTTATAAAATAAACAATCTAACCAYGTGCCTTTTAAAGTCCAAACGCTGTAAAAGTTGATGCGACTTCTGTAAAACAGACCTGATATCACACAAAAAAGGCCTTTCTACATATCTGAATGTGATGCTGCAATACTAAAGAGAAAGTCCTGACACAGCAACAAAATGATGCAGCTCTAACAGCAGATCCTAAGACCAACACCCATGTGAGCATTTACACTTCTTCAATGTGCATCTGCAGTTTAAACAACCCACAATGCCCTGGTTGCGTGCATGGTTTTTGCCCCAGCATTAAACAATGGAGGCTGAAAATAGAGGTTGTGTGTTCTAAGTATTTTGGGAGCTATTAAAACGATGGACAATGTCTTACTGAATTTACTGAAACAAGAGGGAAGTATGAGCAGCTAGAATAGTAACATTAAACTGAGAATTCAGATAAACGTTTGGAGCTTCAAAAACAATTATAAAAAATGTTTCAGGCAGAATATGATAATGTGTTAGCATTATGAGCAAACATGATTCAATTAGAACCTGTTGCATTTTACATTTGTATTTCATAAGGCCTTTAAATGTCATGTAAATACAGATATTATGATATAGTATATTATGATAGGGCATAATTTAAATTTTGTATAATCAGAACATGTCTTTTCAAAGATAATGGTCATATATTGAGTGACCTTTATAACTGTAATTTGTGTCCAAATTAGGATTTTAAGACATATTAAAAGACCAGTATGTTTGTGTATCTTCATTTAAGACATGAACCTTTAAAATTTCTACTGACACTATAAGAGCTAAGCAGTTTACAGGCAACATTTATTGAACACAGTTTGAAATTACTAAATGAGCCACCTCATAATGTTAAAAAGTAAATTTATACATTTCATTTTATTCTTCCTCCTTCTATACCAAAGCTATCTGGGGTTTGGTTAAATTCATTCCAAATTAGGAACTCATCATCATGGACCAAAGCAAAGCAGAACCATGGATAAACCAGATGTGACTGATTTTTATTTCATGCTGTGTGAATTTCAGAGTTGTAAAGTAACTAAGTACAAATACTTCTTTACTGTACTTAAGTAGAATTTTTGGATATCTGTACTTTACTTCAGTAATTATTTTTCAGCCTACTTTTTACTTCTACTTCTTACATTTTCACACAATTATCTGGACTTTCTACTCCTTACATTTTAAAAAAAGGCATCAAGTAGAAAGTCGTTACTTTTATTTTGGCCTGTTTTCATTCCAGCTTGTTATTATAAAAACTAAATTCTATCCATATAAACTGAGCCTCCTAGATAGACTGAATTTAACTGTCGTTGAATGAGAAGTATAAATATATAAAACTCTGATAGCGTATTAGTTTGTACACAAACAAATCATGTCACACTCCAGCAGGACATAATCATTAAAATAAAAGAACTGTACTTAAGAAGTATTTGTATTTGGGCAGCCTTGATATATGTATATAAACTGAAACAGCTGGACTAGTGCATCCTAAATTTAACATAAATTAAATATTTAAT